GGAAGGTAAGGCAGCTACAGTTTCAATAAAGAGCAGTCTCTATTTATCAGTTAGGATCTTATCCTTCCAAAATAATGATGTGTAGCACCCCCAGCCTGCTCCTTAAGATCACGATATTTTACTGTCAAGGACACGCTGGTGGGCTGGGGTGCCTGGCTCCTTGTACCTGAGTACATGAATCCATTCATGAATCTGCAGGTGGCTTGGGTGTCAGCAGCTCACTGAGATGAGGTTGAAAAGTTCCACTTCAAGCTGCAGGTCTGTGCATGGGCCTGGAAGCTGCTGTGCAGCATGTCCACTAGGCTGGTTCTTCTGATGCCATCACAAAAGCCTGAGAGGGCACGTTGAGCTACACCAGGACTTCTAAAGTTCCTGCGTACACAGTGTCTACTAATATCCCCAAAGCAGGTGGGGGGAAGGCACAAGGTCATGTAAATAGGAAACAATATCTTCCTTCCAACAGTATTTAGGAGACTGCAGGGAAGTTTTTGAAAAATTGAATCTATCACACTTTCTAAGGTTAAGTGCTGGTTGAAGAAATTTCTATCTTTGGCCATAGTGACTGGATGCAATTTCTCTCAAACTAAACTGCGTACTTGGCCCACTGTGAAAGCTTGGTAAAGTGGGCACTGCTTGATGGCCCCTGGAAACAACAAAGGGGACCAGGAGTGAATGGGGTCAAAGTCCCAGAGTCAGGAAAACACCAAGCAGAGTGCCACAGTTCCCTTTGGTTTCCGATTAGATCTGCCCCTTCCTTGCAGTGCAAGTGAGCTACTTGGGGCTCCCAGAAACTTCCTGTGGGAGAACAGAGAGCCGAGACCAGCTCTCCCCACACACCTTCTTCCTATGAATCATAACCCCGGGTAGAAACAATAGAAGCTCAGAAATTTGAGCCTGAAATTCTATATACAAGTTTTCTTGACAGTTTCGTTAACGTGCACCTGGGTGGGGCAATAGGTTCCTAAGGGGGAGGCTGAAGAGCTGAGGGGAGACCGGGGCTTCTGGAAGTGCTGGGGGACATGGAAGGACAAGGTCAGAGTGTGCCAGAGCAGAAGATGCTTAAATACTTAAAGTCTTCCACTGAATCCCTTGGTAGACAGCTAGAAAATCCACAGAGAATTGAAAATTAGGCAATGTGTTTCTAAACGGTCCAGGAGTTTAGGATGACATCCAAATAGGAATTAGAATATCAGTAAATAAGGAACTGTTTCATGCCTGGGCATGTGGCTCAGTGATGCAATGTTTGCCTAACATGGTCATGGCACTTGAAAGAAAAGAGAAAATAGAAAGGAAAAAGGAGGGAGACAGAAAATAGGGAGAGAAGAAAGGGGGGAAGATCCTAAAAAGAAACAATCCACAAATAAGCTAGCAATGGACAGAAAATTAAACAAAGAAAAGAATTTATAAGTGAAATAATAAAATTAATCATAGACAACAGTGAAAGTAAATGCAACATACAAAAAAAAACTGATAGAGCCAAATTTGATTATCATTTTTCCTTTTTGCCCATTGCCAGGGGATGCAACTTTGATTTTAAAAATCCCAATACAATGTACACAAATTTTTATCCCATAAGACTGACAGTCAGGATTTCAGCCCCATGTCAGTTGGCCTTATTGTACTGGGCCTGAAATACATTACATCATGGTGGGTGGGTATGAGGGAGAGGCCTGTTCACTTCATGGTAGCCAGGATACAAAAGAAAGTCATGTGGGGAAGGACATGGAGCTGAGACTGGATGTCCCATTCAAGAGCCTACTCCTGATAATGTAACTCCCCTACTGGGTCCTGCCTCCTAATAGCACTATGAATTGGGGACCAAGCTTTAATACATGGATCACTAGAAAACATTTCAGACTATGGCAGACACTGTTAACACATTTTTCAAAGAAGGGACCAATTTATATGCCTCCAATGGGTGTGATACTGCCACTTCTCCACAGCAGCTGACAACTGGTGCTGGACTTCAAGTCTAGCTGCCATGGGAGACCAGTCATGAAACTGCATTGAAATAGCCACTAGCTTTATTCTGGTGAGTAACAATGCACAGTGCTTTGCAGACATGGTTCGCATGAGCATCTCCTTTTATGAAGTGGCCATTTAAATCTTTTCCCTGGTTTTCTATCTGATTGTATTTTCTTATGTCTTTATCAGTCTTCCCATGTTGTCGATAGAGGCCAGAGCAGGGTGTTTGAGTATCCTCCTCTATAGATATATTTCTTGATTATGGTCTGGATAGTCTTGGTCTGCTGCTTAGGCTACTGAGATTAGGGGTGAGTGTGAATGCTGTCAGTCTCACCCATGTAGTCCTCAGATCCAGATGAACAGAGACGATGGCAGTGAGCATCCTGTGGAAAGGAGATCCATGACAAGTGCCAGTAATAATTAGCTCACTGGAGTCTTCCTAAAATGAGTTTGTGGAACTAGAGGGATTGTGTTTTACACCAGGCATACTATTACCTTTTGAAATCAAGGAAATCATTGGTGGATGAATGCCTGCATTGCTCACTCACTTTTTTCTCACTCACTTTTAAAAAAAGCAGGTCACACTTTTATGTAGGGTTGATAAGCCACTGGGGGGGGGGGCAGAGTTCTGCGTACAGACTGTGTGTGCACTCTCTAAAGAGAGCAGAATTGAAAGGCCCCTCTCTGTATCACACCAACAAGTCATTGCAACAGAGATGTTCTCTGCATGTGTTGGAATAAGACAGATCTGGAAGGTCTTTGTGCTGAAGATAATGTATATACTTGGAACTCAGACCAGACACCTTACTCTTGGGCCACATAATAATATTAAATTTTTCACCACTTCAAATCTAATATTGTCTTCAGCTGGCCCAAAGAGAATAGACTAAGCAATACCTCAGTTGGCAGTCAACACAGGCATGTGACTTGGGTACTCTCCTTTCACTTTCCTGCCAAACCACACAGAATTTATATGTTCTTTGCAAGCCATATAGGATTATCTGCTATCCAGATCTACCATGCTAACTGCTAATTAGCCTTTGGCTTCTGTTTCCACTCTAAAATGTCAAGGACTTGGTCATAAGGCTTTGGTCTTGGTTTCCACACAGACTCTCTAATCCCAGAACAAAATTCTCACTTCACTTTCTCTTCTATTAGCTATTCTGGATATGTGAGTAAATCTACAAATGGTAAATACTCAGATAGGCCCCTTTCTCCTGTCACACAACATCGTCAGGAGCAGGAGAGAGGATAGCTGGATGGTTTGGAAGCCTTTTAACCTGACCTTGTTTATTTGGCAATTTAAGAGGATTCAGACAAAGCTGATTAGCCTGCTGGTGAATATACAGATACACAGAATATACCTGAATATATGGATCATTTTAGGGGAATTTTCTCTGCTCATGATTAAGGGTGCCAATACATCTGGAGGAGTTCTATGAACAAAAGAGAGGCAGATTCAAGCAATTTCTATTTCTAAGGCTCTGGCAGCTGATACCAGCAACATCTTATCGAGTCAATCCACCACTAATATTTCCTGAGGACACAGTTGACCTTCTTCTCTCACTAATAGCCTTGCTTCTCTTTGCCTGTCCAGTCATTTAGAAAGTTGTTTTCAAGACAGAAAAGAAAGCAAACAGGGACTCGGAAACCATTTGATGCAGGAGTTACTAGTGTGTTGTACATGCAAAATGAGTATCAGTGTCATTTCACAAACCAAACCAAATGCAAATGGTGGTCGGAGGCCAGACCCCACAGCTGTCTGGTGGTGGGGTTTGATTAATCTCTACATTCTGGCTTTCCGTATGAGTAGCTCCTAGCAGAACAATAGGAAAGTCACACTGGGCAGTACCTGGGTTACAACCAAAATGTTTCTGCAGGCTCTTGACGCTTTGCCATGAAATTCTCATTTAGCAAAACCTGGAACCAGGCTCTGGGTGCAGCCTGAGTTTTGTATTTGCCAAAGAAAGTTGTGGTATCTCTGCCTCTTGTTCCTGGATTTCCCATCTGGGATCTCATGCTTTTCTGTGACTAGCTGTAGTAAGTCACTCTGCTCTTTCGATTCAGAGTTCCATCTTAACACTGGGACTCATTGGCTTTGGAAGTGCTCTTAAACATGTTTTCTTCTTCTTGTACTTCTGGAACGTGACCAGACCACTAGGCCATTCCCAGTGCAAAATAGGATTGAGAAATAGTTGTTTCAGAGGTTGGGAGATACTGTTTCATGCCATGCCAGGTAACTGTCTTAAATAAAAACCATAACAGTGACACAGTCATGTAATACTTTTCAGAGATCTTAATGGTTTGAAAAAATGCTACCAGTTAGTAGAAATACAATAAAAATGTCAATGTGCTTAATTGCCAATTCACAGTGAAAGAAATTTAGAATTTACTGCTTCCTGATATATCACGATCTTCACTTGGCTATTTTATTTATTTGTATTTTTCTTGGAGGCAGCCTGGCAGGAGTCAATCCACCACTAATATTTCCTCAGGACACAGCTGGCCTTCTTCTCTCACTAATAGCCTCGCTTCTCTTTACCTTTCCAGTTATTTAGAAAGCTGTTTTCAAGACAGAAAAGAAAGCAAAGCAGGGACTTGGAAATCATTTGATGCAGGAGTTACTAGTGTGTTGTACATGCAAAGTGAGTATCAGTGTCATTTCACAAACCAAACCAAATGCAGAGCTATGGACAGCTACACAAGATATATATATATATATATATATATATATATATATATATATATATATATATACACACACACACACACACACACACACACACACACACACACGCACACGCACACGCACACGCACACGCACACGCACACGCGCGCGCACCTTTACATGTCTTTTGGATAAGAGACTCTGCTTTCCATGGATTCTCAGAGCAAGGCTATGCTCCAAGAAGGTAAAGACGCACTCAAATGGCAGTTGCTTGTAGATGCAACCAACGGTCTTATTAAATAAGAAACACAGAGCTGATTCAGAGAAGAAAGCCAAGAGGTCAGAGCTAAGAGCCTCACCCTTCCTGATTCAGGGATCCTCTTCAGCCAAGAGAGTTCTCCGAAAAGGACCTACTTACTGTGTGTATGTCTTTATATAGTCTAGCTGTTCTGCCTTCTCATTGGTTGTAAACCCAAACATGTGACTGACTTGTCACTGCCTGAATGTACCGCCTTCCAGGTCCTTAAAGGTGTGCACCACCGCCGCCACGCACTTGCTATGGCTCTAATAGCTCTGACCCCCAGGCAACTTTATTTATTAACATATAATTAAAATCACATTTCAGTACAAGTAAAATACCGCCACATTTCCCCTTTTCTATTTTAATAAAAAAGAAAAGAAAGAAAAAGGTTATAACTAACCAAAGAAAAACTATATACAAAAGTACAAAGACTATATACAATATATACAAGTAATAAATGTCTAAACAATGTCTAGTCCATTTGTATTTGACAAATTCAGAGAAAATAATTTCATTATCTATCCTATTTTGTTAAGTACTAAATGTATCTAATTCACTTTCTATCCTAATTAATCTTCAACTATAACTAACTAACCTTCAACTATAGCTAATTAATCTTCAACTATAGCTAACTAATCTTCAACTCCCTCAGAGACCCAAGAAGGAAATAATATTAGATAACAAAAACAAAAACAGGAAGTGCATACAAGCAACTTCCAAAAAATTTGTGAGTTGACAGAAACAGCCAGCTGTCTAGACAGCCACCTGAGGTTTCTCTGCAATGCTGGGGCATCATCTTCATCCTATAGGTTTAGCATATCTGACAGACTCATTTGTGAAGTAGGATGTACACAAGGTCAACAGTTCAACCTCACATTGGGTGAGAGCAGTCCATGTACCAGAAACACCTGAATTCCACTAGTGTCATGTCATGATTCAGGATTTTAAATTCTGGAAATTGTTGATGGTTTTTTAATTCAGCTGTCCATTCTTCTTGGCTGTGTATATATGGCTTCATCTCAGCATCCCGTTCTTCTCCACATCCCTCTATCAAATGCCAGTCTACTACTGAGAGGCATGAGCTTAGTTACTCTTCAAGAATAACTGTTTCAGCTGCTGTTCCATTGCACATCAGAAGCCATCGGCCCACTGCCTGTTCAGCTGCCTTCGAAGAAAAGGGCACTGTACCTTTTCCAGATTGCGAAGGCCACTTCAGGGATGGTGCCATATTGTCCTGGCCTCAGAAAATGCCTTTTGATAAAGCCATAACCACACTTGTTTTGGCAAGAATCAGTAGTCCTTTGTTTCATGTCCTGTCTGTCCATTTTGTCAGCAGTTGATTCGAGGATACTTTGTTGTCCAGTGGCTAACTTTTGCCACAATGAAAGTTAAGTCCATATGCAGTTTCTTCAATGCCCATATTTTCTCTGAAGTAGATTGGTACTGCCAGGAGCCGACATGTCTCATAATCATAACAAAAAAGAAAAATTTTCTAAGTTATTAAAACATTTTAAATGCCATATTCTGTAGATCTCTGAAGGGTTTGAAGATGACCTGTCTAAAATATATCTGCTCAATTTTTAAAACATATCTAATATGACTACAAGTTCTATTATAATGTCTAACTACTAACTTTCATTTCTTTATATCCTAATAGTTGGTAATAATAACATTCAAGGATCAGAAAATTGCATTGTTAAATGAACAGTATAAGTACAATTAGAAATATACATATAGCATTTTCTAACAATATCAATTTCAATATATATAATTTGTATACAATATAAAACAATCCAATCCAATGTAAAATATTTAAAACTAGTAATTGTCTTTTTCTTCTTCTTTCTTTCTTTCTCTCTCTTTTTTTAAACAAGAACCTTAAATCTAATCTCCTTTGCTTAGCCTTTTTTCTAACCCTTGACAACAACTTGTAACCAACCCCCTAAACAATGAAAATTATCCCAGACCCAAAACCCATTAAAAAGACCAAAAAACCACCCGCCCCACACCACCTCTTTGGGAATGTGGGCGTCGTATATTCTTAAAATTGCTTCCTGCTGGGTATGGGCGAAGTTATCTTTATCCTGAAAGAAAAATTTTAGGTTAATTGTCAAATTCTAGGAAAGGTAACCATATCCTTCATTATCCAGTCTGTGTATAATGCCAAAGTTCAGGGTTTATCTCAAGTCCTTATTCAAGTAGTCTTTGAGACTGGATCATCTCAGCTAGTCATCTCAAAATTGCTCTGAGCACCTTGTAGTTCAAAGCTGATCTGTAGATGATGTTTGTCAGCTTAGTGATATTATTATTATCCACGTGGAATTGTTGTTGTTGTGGGGCCCCAACTTCTTCCTGGAGACTTCAGTTGATGTTAGTCCTGGCTGTGATTTCCTGCAGAAAACTGATAAGAGACTCGAACACAAAGACATATATATGCAGCTAATTGAAGCCTTTTTTCTAGAATTAATTAGTACTCTATATGACCATTCATATCTTAAAGTTTAAAATGTACATATAACTATATATCTCTATATATTAATCTTGTAAATTTTGATATAAAATTTATACTTTAAGAAAAGTTTTAAAGAATCAGAATAGAATCAAAGAGTTGAGATTAGTAATAGAATAGTCCCTTAATTAATTTGGCTTTTCTCCTGTCCCATAGCAGAAGATGGCTCTTTTATTCTGGCATGATACAGGGGGTTTGCATTTTCCTTTTAACAACATGCTTGAGTTTAAAGAAGGAGAGAGCCATTCTCCAACTCTAAAGTCAGCTTTAAATTTTAATTGAACTGGGACTATTAGAAGACCAATAGTGTTAAATTTTTAGAGAAAAGCAGAAACAAACATTTAGGAAGACATAAAATTTTTTAGATAATATATACCCATATGCCATTTCACTCTGTTTCCTGGGATAGATGATTTGTCCCTTTTCTTCAGTTGTCTCATTTGTCCAGTGTTCTTCAGATTCCTTAACCTTCCTTCTCCTAAAAGACAAAAACAAAAACCTTTCCCCAAGACTAATTTTGGGGATGTTCCTTTTTGGCAAGTTATTATCTGATTAAATGAAAAGACATGTGTTACTGGTAAGTTAGTTTAATTTGGATGTTCATGCTGGTTGATGCACTATCACCTCCTCTAATTAAGAGGTTTCTCTTGTTCAAATCGAACCTTTATCAATTTTGATGGTACCCACAACTTATCTTCTCCTGTAGAAACAAAAGCAAAACCTCGTCCCCAACGTAACACATACCCTGGTTTCCATTCTGAGGTCAGCACATCCTTAAAGTATATAGGCTGATTTAATTCTGTAGTTTTTTTCTATTATCCAATGTCTCTCTGCAGCTGTTGTTCCTTTCTCATTGGCATTAAGAAAATTCAAAGTTAATAGAGCATTATGCAGTCTGTTTCTGGGGGTTTTTGTTACCCCTTTCTGTTTATTTAGCATATCCTTTAGAGTTCTGTTTGATCTTTCTATAACTGCTTGACCTGTAGGATTATGTGGTATGCCTGTAATATGCTTTATATTGTAATAAGCAATTGTAATAAATTGTTTATTTATTGTAATAAACTTTAGCTACAGTTGCTTTTTCTTCAAACATGCACAGCTTCTGGGGTAATATATATGCTGTTGCCTTAGGTCTTTGCTGCTTGCCTATTGTCAATTATTTCTACTCTCTAAATTGCTCCAAATGAAGAGCTCATGTTGTTCTACATTCCGTGTCTTTTACTTTATTCTTGTTTGTGTCTGGGTGACTTGGAGAAAAGCAGACCTCTGTGTCTGGCTTCTCGTCCCCTTCCTCTGGGGCTGGCAGGGGAGTGTCTGAGTCCCAAGTGGTATGTGATTTTTCTTTTTATACTCAATTCTTATCTAATTCTGGAAAGCTTTAAAAAATATTCAATTTTTCCTTTACTGTAAAACGTACACAGTATCCCAGCTCAGAGGACTTTGTAAGAACCATGTGTTCTTTGGGGGATTTCAGGCTGGTACACTCTGGAAAGCCTGTCTCGCTCTGCTTTGTATCAGCCCACTCTCATATACAATAGTAAATTCAGGCTTCTTTTAAAGGGCATCTGCTTTTGTAGCTCACTTCAACTAGAGAAGTAAAAGACCCTTCAATAATGGGTAAAGAACATTAAATGCATAAAGAATTCGCTCTTCAGCTCTGGGAACTTTTAGAAGGTCTGTGATTCAGGACTGGGGAGATGAGTCAGTAGGCAGAGTGTTTGCCGTGCAGACATGAAGACCTGAGTCCATCCCAGCACCCAAATAAAGTGTCAGGCGTGGTGACATTCATCAGCAACCCTAGTGGTGAGGGTGGACCCTGTCGTAGGGGTGGCTTGCAAGGAGTACATCCTGTCCTCTTGCTGCCCAGGCATCCAGTCAAGTCAATAAGCTACAAAAAGACAAAAAAGAAAGATGTCACCCTGAAGGAGTCTAGTTTGGTTCCTGCTCCAAGTTTGACTAGGTTAACATCACAAGATCCTCCAAGGAACCTATAGCCTGACAGTCTTTTCAAAGTGTATATATCATTGAGCCAAAGACAGCAGCCAAAGGCCTCCTATGGCTTTCTATCCATTCTCCTGGGGAGTTATTTCTCAACAATTGGACCGAAGGACGATAGGCTGAGATAAAATTCAAAGTTTGCAAGTTGGATTTTTTCCCAAGTGATTTTAAAATATTTTGAAGTCCTGCTGAGGAACATCTCCTGGTGATTTGATTTTTTTTCCCTTTTTGCTAGTAGATTCACATTTTCACTATTTCATAATTTTTTAAGTAGGATAGATAGGAATCAGTCAGCTAATCAGTTACTATTTGTTGCTAGGAAACCAGAGATTTAGCCAAATGGTCCATTCCAAAAATGATGCAGGGGAGGAAAACGTTCTTATTCTCATCCAACTTCTACTAAAACACGAAGTGATTGTGAATATCCTCATTTTGCTTCACTTTGCAAATATATTGGGGAGTGTTTTCCTTAGAACTCTATTTTAACATTCTTTGTATGAACCAGATATTTGAAATTCCCTCAGCTGCATTTTTGGTACTATGATTGCCCTGTTTATGTGATGAGATCACCTAAGACAGTCAAGGTCATTATATAGGAAGTTTTGAACTTCAAGTTAGTGAACCAGGCAGGAAGATGGGGTGGTTTCAAATGCAAAAGTACTGAAGGTATTTTAAATATTTTGAATTCAAAGAGTTGGTGTTAAAATCTGTAATCCTAGTTTCCTATAAGGCCAGTCGTATAGAAATTTTAAGTTTGGATAACAGCGTTGGAGTAGCTCATCTGAAACAGAATGACTAGCCGAAACACAACTTGACAGTTATGAAAAATAAAACAGGCTGTCCAAGTCTGGAAAAAAAAAACTTACCTTCCAGATCTTAGCACAAAGGAGAAAGGATTCAAGTTATCTAATGACTCCCAAAGATAGGAGAAACCATCCCAAGTTACACCCACTGTTCTTCCTGGTCACTTGAACTACAAAGCTAATCAGATCCCCAAATCCCAACATCACTGACAACGCTCATGGCTTACCAACTTCAACACAGATAAATGGCCCCATTAACGTCAGGGCAGTTGTGTTTGTCCGAGGAATAGACGTCTGTATTTTAAATTGCATTATCCAGCTTATCCAAGGGATAAGAGATGTTTACTTTCACAAATTCCAGGCTTCTGAGCCGAGTTAAACAGGACAAGTTTAAAGGCAGGGGCTCCGAGAAGTACATGGCGCTTTGACAGCTCTGCTGTGGTCTGCAGAGGCTGGGTTAGAATCCAAGCTTATCTCTGAGCTCCTGGGCTGAGAGCTGGGGGCTCTCAGGCCTTCCTGCCACCTGTGCCCTCCGTGTAGCCACTGCTGTAAAACTGACAGCCAGAGTGAGTGGAAATACCTTGCCAAGAATTTGGCATTGGGTTAGTGTTCGCAGATGTATGTCCAAGGATTGCTCCATAGCCCCTGAAGGCTGAGAAGTGAAGAGGCCAGCAGGGCAGGCCATGGAGTCAGGCCTCCCTCTGTCACTCAGCCTCAGGTAGGGCTCAGCCTTCAAGAACAAACCTGTGTTCTTGCCAAGCTTCTTATTGCTGGTTTAATGTGCTACTTAGAGATGAAATGCCTCTTCCTCTCTAGACAGAAGAGAAGCAGAGATAGAAAAACAGACCGAGAACACTGAAATCCAACAAATTAACTCCCCTTTCAACCTTCCTTCCACCCAGCTTCCCCTGACTTGGAAATGATCCGCTCAGAGCATGCAACAGCTGTTGCTGCCCTCTGCTGTACTCTCTGTTGCTAGCAAGCGGGGACCCTGACTCCTCATAGGAAAGACAGAATGGAAAATGTGGGTGGGAGAGATCTGCAGCTTCCCGCTTCACCTGGGAAATCTCCCAATATTGCAGTTGTGGATTTCCACCACCCATTCATTGTGAATGAATGAACCATGGTCATGTTTTCAGGACTTAAAAATGTGTTTTCCTTTACACTGTGGTTATGTCTGCCATTTTACAGTTGAGGACAGGGCAAAAAAAACTGCACTGAGAAAATTAGTTTTCTACAGAATTTAAGCCGTCTAAACACTGGACTGTCTAACACAAATGCTTTATTTAAATATAATATACAATAACTGGTGTTTGAGATTCTGGGACAACTGAAGAGCCAATGATGACCAAGATGTCATCGCAGTATTCCCACCCTACCCACCCCCCGTTTTAATGGCCAGATTCCTTCATTTTCAGTCATGTTCAGACCCTTTCGGTGTTTCTATTTCTGTTAGATGAATTCACGTATTTCTCCCTTCATATTGCCAATATAAATCTATCTTTAAAAGTTCATTTAGTATCTTACCATCTTACCAACATCAAGAAGAGGAAGGACAAAATACCAGTAACTTTATGAAAATTGATAACTTTATGAAATTTAATAATTTCAAGAAGTGGATGAGAATACTGTGCCACGACCTATACCTCCTGTGCTATGTACATCTACTAATAAGGAGGCATGTTCCATAGGCACTGATCTGAATGTCTGAATGTACTCAATAAGATACTTTAAAATACTCTTTCAAAAGTGTATGTTAGGTCTCTGCTTATTCTGAAAAGGCTAAAAAAAAATGGTAAAGGGGATAGAATGCTAAAGTAAGACTTAATTTGTGAGCGTTTCACTCAACACTGTCATCTGGCAGTGTGAAGAGGTTCTCACTCTTCCATGCTCTCACTTTTTTCTACATAGATTTTGATTGTGGATGCAAAGTTATTGAATGTTTTGTTTATATATCTCTTTCATATTTAGACAGTGTAGGTGTCTGTGTATGTGGTGCTCTCTCTCTCCTCTCTCTCTGTGGATGGGTGGGTGGGTTCATCATTATACATTTCTGGGTCCTTTTGCCTTATACACAGCAATTGTTTGGTAAGTGTTTGGTAAACAAATTAATTAACAGTCTTCTGACCTCAAACAAGATGGACAGAAAAGACTTGAACACGTGAACAACGAGAGAAGATAGACAAGAACTATGCTAAGAACTGGAGTAGGTAGCATGTGTTGACTGGAATCCAAGGTAGTATCTATGTCTCTTTATCCTTTGTCTTAGAATCACTGAATCCTTGGCAGAAAGACAATCTGGTCTAATATCTCAATTTTGCCCAAAAAAGGACAGAGGTGGTCAAACAATCCCTTATTTCCCAAAGGTCAAATATTACTGCTTCCTGGTTGTTCTCTATGAAGGCTGAAAGACATATGCAAGATAAACAAAAGCTATATATTTCCAATGCTTTTTGTTGAAAGTCCTGCCTGGATTTATCCTTTATGCAATGTGAGAAGTGTGATTATTAATGAAAGTTGGAGAATTTATTTAATTAAAATAACAGAATTTATTACTCTACCATCTGATGACACCTAAGAAGTTATAAAATCATAATGATAGTATAATAATAATAATAACAACTTCCCTTTATTGGTGCTTACATCTTAACATGTGCTAGGTAGCTGTCTAAGTATTACACATGTATTTATTTAGTCTGATATATAAACATGAGAAAACTGAGGCACAGTGGTTGGCCAGGATCACAACCTAGTAAAACTCAGAGGATGAGTTGGTCCAAACAATTTGATTCTGGAACTCATATAATTGTCTGCTAGAATAGTCTCTCATGGCAAAGATATAGTTGTCGCCATATAAATGGAAAAGCTGGTGTGACATGACAACACTGTTCAGGGCACAAGTCCTGAAATTTGTCTGTATGAGAAGTTACAGGAAGGAATAGATAGACAACATTCATCAGGCTTCTAACAGGAGCCAGGCACTGGGAGGGAGTTATGCATGCACTGTCCTTAGTAGAACTCAGGATGATGAGACCTGCCCCTTGACTACTCTTACAGGATGCCCATTCTGTCTTCCTTGATGTCCTCTCCTATTTTCCCCATGGTGGTGGAGAATACATCACGAAATCATGCAGAAACTGCCATGGATCTGTGGGACTTACCCATTGCTCACTGTCTATAATTCAGACTCATGATCATTGGTGAGCAGCTCTGATGCCTGGAAAGAAGTAGTAGATTAGAATATTTTCATTGTCTAGCTAATTATGAATTCATCAATTGAGAGTCAGTTTTACTCATTTTTATTTTCACTGACTAGAAAATTTTTTTGAGATTTTACCATCTATAATTTTTGTCTAAGCAATTAATTACCAACATCTAGGCAAAGGAGTAAATCCGCACAGGGCTGAACATAGCTGCACAAGTGGTGGCATGTGGACGAGCTTGACTAGAATTTGATTTTGTAGCGTCCATCATGGACACCCAAATCGTTAGATGTTCATGTCCCATATATAAAATAATAGAATGTTTGCATATACTGTACACATATCATCTGTCTTAGTTTGGATTCTATTTCTGTGATAAAAAAAAAAAAAAAAAAAAAAAAAAAAACCACCATGACCAAAATCAACCTGGGGAGAAAGGTTGACTTACCAGAAACTACACTCTTCGAGAAAACTGTCTCTGCCTTTCCTAGTACCTATCAGTTGTTAATAGCTCCTAGGCTAGGGGTGGGACTTTGTCTTAGGATTTCTCTTGCTGTGAAGAGATACAATGACCATGGCAACTTTTATAAAGGAAAACATTTCATTGGTTGGGTTACAGTTCAGAGGTCCAGTCCATTATCTTCATGGTGGGACATGGCGATATGCAGAAAGACACGGTGCTGGAGAAGTAGCTGAGAGTTCTACATCTTGTGCAGGCAACAGGAAGTCATCTAAGACACTGGGGGTAACTTAGTGTAAATGAGACCTCAAAGCCTTCCTCCACAGTGACAAACTTCCTCCAATTAGGCCAATCCTACTCCAACAAAGCCACCCCGTCCTAATATGCCACTCCCTATGAGCTTATAAGGGCTAATTACATTCAA